AGTGAAGTATATTTACAAAAACAAACAAACAAATTAAATAAAGTATGTCAGTACGAAGATGAAGGTACAGAATGGAGATGAGGGAAGCCCTTCATTTGTCCAGCATCATGAATGAAACTTACTTTGAAAAGTGGGGAATACTACCATCAAATGAAGATACACTGCAGTAAGCACCTCTACTTCCGAATCAAAGATGAACTCCCAATGAAACTGTTCAATGTTCCTTGACAATAGGATGCTGGACTTTCTACCATTGTCTATGCCTATAGTGTCATAATACAGTTAAATACAGAGTGACGGACTGCTGGATGTTTCTGAAGAACAATAGTTAAAATATAGAGGAAAACAGTGGGGGGCAGGTGGGGAGGGTGGAACGGGAAATCCCAGAGCCTAAGAAACTGTATCATGAAAAAGAAAAATGGAAACCATCCCCACTGTCCTAAAAAGATGGTAAATAGCAGGGACATAATGTGCTGAAAAACCAGAGGGGAGAGATGAATTCTGATGCCAAGGAATTCCTGGAGGTGGCTTTTAGTAGCAGGGGTGTCAATGGTGAGGATGAGTAGGATTTCCTGGCAGGAAGCCAGGAGGAAAGTGGGAATAGGATGTTAGTGAAATGAGCAGACAATCCCCAAAGGTCAGATACCACATGTTTGCTCCAATACAAGATAACTTCCATCAAAATCTCAGTGCTGATATGCCTAGGGGCTGTTCTGCTCATCTTATGGAATGTCTCTTTCTTGTTTCAATGTGCAGTTTTGCAGTGTCAAATCTAATTATATTTGCTGTAAATCTTATCTTTTCACATTTTCTAGTTATTTGCATCTCTCCCAATAAGTTCTTGTGATCCATTAATTGATCATCCATAAGAGATGCACCGCTTGTAAACACATCTTAAGAGTTTTGCTAACCAGAAGTAATGAAGTTCTAGTTTTTAACTGTGATTCCTTCAGCGCCACGGGGGTCACACACTGGCGTCTCACTACAAGATTTTTGATTCCTGTTTTTATCACTCTTGTGATGCATATTTACTTTTGTAGCATGTTTGTTAACTTCATGTTGATGAAAATTTATTATTTTCCCCCTGTTGTGGACTGTGCTCACTGGGTCTGTATTTTAGGGAATATAGTAGTGGGGACTGATACGTTCGGATCTGCAAACAACGTGCTGTATGTCTCTGTGCACAGACCACAGATGCACTCCCAGTGAAAGAACAGACTACATCCTAACAGTAAGATGATGGACTCTGATATTGTTGGGAAACATCTCGATAACAGTACGATGGACTTGAGACTGTTCATGAAGGACATCCATTGTAAAACTAGAGGGGAAACCAATAGGGAGGGGGCAGGGAGGGGCCTTGGGGAAGGGCACGGGCAACCCAAGAGCCTGGAGAACTATATCGTAAAACCAAATAAAAATATTTTTAAATGTGGGGGGAAAAAAAAGGAAAAGAACCTCCCAGGTAGCTTCCGGGGTCTTCAGCAGGTGCTGGGGATAACGCTGCAACTTCTTCAAAGGGAAGTGACAGCTCAATTTATAAAAATCAGCTTAGGGCCTGGTGAGGTAGCCTAGCAGCTAAAGTCCTTGCCTTGCATATGCCAGGAGCCCATATAGTTGCCAATTCATTTTCTGGAGGCCCTGCTTTTCATCCAGCTCCCTTCTTGTGGCCTGGGAAAGCAGTTGAGGACAACCCAGAGCCTTGGGACCCTGCACCCATGTGGAGACCTGGAAGAAGTGCCTGGCTCCTGGCTTCAGATTGGCCCAGTTCTGGCCATTGCGGTCACTTGGGGAGTGAATCAGCAAATGGAAGATCTTCCTCTCTCTCTCCTCCTCCTCTCTATATATCTACCTTTTCAATAAAAATAAATAAATCTTTTTAAAAAGTTAGCCGAGGGCTGGCTTCCTCCATACTAATCTGTGGCGATTGAAAATTCATTAATCCTGTGCCTAGCACCTGACTACATTAAGAGGCTTCCCTCCAGAACAGAGAGCGCTGAGGGTTGTGTGTGTGTGTGTGTGTGTGTGTGTGTGTGTGTGTGTGCGTGTGTGCGTGCGCGCTTCCTGACTTCCCAGGCCCAAGGATGGGCATGAGCATCCCTCACCCTGGCACCTTATGTTCGCAGGTGGAGGGAGTTGCTGACTAACCCTCCTGGGGTAACCGCCTGATATTATCAGATGGCGAAAGATTACCTGTGCACTTCTGCTTATGAGATACTGGTGAAAATAAGCTGGCACTTTAGAGAAGGAAGTCCTCGGCTGTTTTGGGGGAGGTGGTTATGCATAATTTCTCTCCCTCTCAGCAGTGTTTAGTAAGGTGGAACAGCATATCGTTAGTGGCCGTTCTTGCCGTAGGCCACCGAACCCTCCTGTGATGAAGAAGCCATCCAAGTGCTCGAGATTTGATGGTATCTTGAGGAAATCTGCAATCTGCATTAGGAAGCAAGTGCCCTGGGTAGCCACGTGCCCACCCTCATTAGAAGGGTTCAAGGTGGGGCTAGTCTGCCCCCTGGTGGGATCTGGGAGGCACAGGAGGGTGATACTGAAGAGCAGATACCCCAACTTAGTCTGAGCTCTTTCAGTTTCCCTGTGCGACTGCCAGCAGGATATTTTCACCTCTCCAAACGTTCAGTGCCCTCATTCATGTAATCAGGATGAACATAATATGATACAGCTCAGTGCTGCTGTGAACAATGATCAAGGTCATGTGCCATTCAGTTAGCACTGTGCTGCCAGAAACCATGAACAAAGACAAGGATCCTATCATCGTGAGGAAAGGGACCCGGATGAAGGCTCAGGTGCCTTCCTCACACTAAGGAGAGTTTAGAACATGCACTGGTGTCTCGCTGATGCTCTAACTACCTCCAGCCTGCAAAGGCACCCGTGTCGTGTGTGTGTGTCTGCTTAGGTACCAGCCAGCAATCCACCACGTAGCAAAGCAGGTGTAAAGCAAGCTGTCGGGCCTGTGTTAGCGCATGTGCACCCGAGGCTGGCGTTCGTTCTGAACAGGGGAAGCCCTTGCTCTGTGGAAAGGTGAGGAGCTGAAGAGGACCTGAAAAAAGTCCCATCTCCACACAGCCTCCAGTAAGGCCAAGCGGCGGAGAGAATCGCTTTGCCTGGGTAATCTATCTTTTCTCAGCTTCACTTATGAAGGACAGTGAAGTTAAATATTTCAAATGTTTCCACTTTAAAAGCTCCATCTTGTAAGCCAAATAAAAGCTAGCTGACTTCTAAATTCTTTCATGACAACTTTAAGCTATTTCTTGGGGCTGTGGACATTCTTCAGAGACTCACCATTATTGGGAAAAGAATTAAGTACTACTTCAATCAAAATCTCTAACCACCAAGTAGTATATTGATTCTGTCTGATGCCCCAGGATTGCCAAGCTCTGCTTAGGAAAACTAGGAGAATTAAGGCCTGGTTATTAGACAAGTCAAATATCATTTTTAACAACCTACAAGTATAAGTTAACCAGCTGTTTTTTCAAGAGCTTAAAATGTAAATGTACTCCCAGTTGATCTTTATTGAAGGAGGTATGTTGGGCTTATATTTTTATTTTCACTTGAAAAACAAAAATTTGATTTTGAGATGCTAAATGTGTGGCTTCATGGTTGATAGGTGACAGAGCCAGAATCTGAACTCAAGTCTTTGCCTGGGAACCCTGGACATCACTGCTTAATACCATGTCTAAATGAGCCTTATTTATGCTCATAGACTACCTCAGCACTTAGGGAACAGTATTCAATAAATATTAATGGATGACCTAAGTTAACTGCAATTCAGGATAATGTTTTCATGGTAAGTTTTAAACTTTTTTTTTTTATCAAAATGGACTGAACACATTCAGTTCAGGCAAAAAATATGTCACATAAAGATAGATAATCATAGCGTCCTATACACGATACCTAAGTTGGCAAACACTAGGCCAGTGCTCATCCATGGAACCAGAGTGGGTACAAACACTCATGCCAATGTGGCACAGTGCACAACTCTTCACGCTCCTGCTGAGGGACACGATGACCCTGAGTCAAACCTCAGGAATGATATTAGATCACTTATCCCTGTCCCTCTGGATGTGAACACAATAAAGTAGGTAACTCCACAAATCATCTCGCACACACAAACACACCCTCTTGCCACAGCATTGAACAACACAAGCAAGCAGCCTTCACGTGTTGTCCTTTTGCTGGTGGGTCTTCACCAGATATTCTGCCAAGAGAGCTATGCCTTGTAATACCTGATGTGGACAGCAGGGATAGTGTCGTGGAAGAACGAACATGCTGGCTATGGAGAGATGGCTACGCTCGGGTAATCATAAGCACGCCTCCAGCTGCTGAAGAAAGCATTACAGGAACATCCTCTGCCCTGATCTGATGGATCTCTTTAGAATTGATTTTAGAAAAAAATCTAAGAGAGATATGGAGTATTTGTAAACTGCTCAAGCATTTGGCTAATACTTAAACATGTGCTACCATGGCCCCTTGTTCAGATGGCATTTACAAAGCAAAACACTGCTGCATAGACTGCAGTTCGCAATATGATTTTCTAGCCAATACTGTCACTTATTTATAGGATCGTGGGCTGTCGCATTGATGAGATTTTACACAGTTTAACTGTAGATCAGCTATGTAGACAGGCAGAAAAATGGATACCTGAGTTTAACTACAAAGTTCATTTCTCAAGTTTGATCTGTACAGACGGCAGTCGGCGTGAGGTCCCCATCAAAGCTCCAAGGCATCGATGCCCTCAGGATCTCCACATCCTTCCACATTCACGCTTCCTGACCTATCCTTCTTGAGCACCGCCTACTGATATGAAGTCCATGACTCAGCCCCAAAGCCTTAAAGACAAAGCTAGTACCCAAAGACTACAGTGGCATTACCATTTCTAGATTGAAATCCCTTTGTTTACAACAAGTGTCCTGGAAAGGGGACATCGTGGGCAGGGCATGTTTGCTGGGCATTCCCACCCAGCTCCCCAGGGATGGCCATGGACTTACCTTTGGCACGTGAGGGTTGAACTCCACTGCTCTGTGAATGGCCTCCACTGCATTCATCTCAGCTGTGCTCAGGCCCCGCCGCGATGCGGCCTCGGGAGAGAATCTGAACAGCAGAAAGACACAGAGCATTCAGTCGGACCACTGCTTGGGCATCAGCTGGGAAAGGCAGATATGGTACAGGGGCCCACAACACCACAGTGAGCCGGAGGCACATGCTCACAAAATTTCCACTACATGGAATCTCGGAATGACCCCTCGACCAAAGCCAACAGAATCCCCAGCAGAAGCAGAAAAATGTGCTTGCTACTAACAGTGGTAAGGAGTAAACTCTGCTGTCAAGTCTGTCTAACAAGCTAACCTGTTTCCTACAAGGAACCTGCTTTGAGCAGGGGAAGAAGATGACTGACAAGGGCAGACGGTGCAGGAAAAAGAGAAAACCACGTTATGGGAGAGTGCACTTGGTTAAAAACAGAACTGGGGAGGATCTTAAAGGAGGCTCCCAACCCAATGTCAGTGCTGCGATGGAAGGTTAAGGTGCAGTTTCAGTAACAGGCAAGCCTGCTTGGGATCGTACAGGCAGGAACTGGGCACACCCAAACTGTGGGTGACACCTGCCCAAGTGAATGAAAAAAGGAAAAATAAAAAAATAATTAAAAAAACAAAAAACAAAAAACCAACCAGACCATGCAATCTCTTTCTCACCTCACACCCAGGACTAACTCCAGAGCTGTGCTTGGCAGGCAGACACCACAGGGGAAGCTGTGACAACCCTGGCCCTGCCCTCCCAAGCTGGAGTCGCTGTGTAGGGAGAAAAGATGTTGCAGTAGGTACTGGCGATCTACAGGATAAAAAAAAAAGAATGAAAGAAAATTACTTCGGTCTTGAAGTGCACACACACTGAACAGCAAACCCGCCTGACACAGTGGACGCTGTTTTCCATTCCTCTGCTTTTCAGCAGTACAAGAGGGGTCGCGTGGGGAAGCCCAAGTGTTGATCCACTCAAAAACAGTCAAGCCATCTAGGCCTTTCCACCTGCCAGTCATTCTCGGGTGCTCAGGGACATTCTAAATGCCACAGCCACCTGCTTGGATCAAAAAGGCAAATGTCCCAGTCCAATGGCAACTCCAAGCAGAGAGACCCTGAGTGGACAATTAGCTTGGAGTTAAACAGGCAGAGAACTGGGAGATGGCCACCACTCTGTCACACGACGTGTTTATAGAAGGACTACTAGCTGTGGGCTGCTGAAGGCAGAGGAATATGCAAAAAATGAACTAAAGAGTAACATTGTGTTGTATTCCTAACCAGACCTTTTGTTATCTACTGTCGGGGTAAGAAAAAGAAAAAGAAAAAAAACAATTCAGAGGTACGGAATTTCAGACAAATTTCTCTTTAGGGACCCACACACCCTTACAATACCTGGGGATATATGTTCCCTCCTTTGAGTAGTGAAAGGAAAGATCAGCGGGTTTTGGAAAAACGCATACTCATAAGCAGGGGTCTCATAGCCTAAGAGAAACTTCCAGAGAAATCCCTTGGAGGCAATACATCTCGTCAAGTCCAGCTGGGCATTCAGTACTGCACAGTTATTACTTACTTGTCAGAGACAGCTCTCGCTTTGAGCAAGGCAGCTGTGTAGCATATTGTTGCCGACTTTGGTAAGCTTATATCTGCCGGAGAAAGAAGAAAGCACAACAGTAAGTTTGCAGCAATAAAGAACAATGATTCTCGACACACTAGCACTTTGAACACAGAAGCCCAATCACGTATAAATTAAGAATAGACAGGGCTTAACACATACATCACACGAGAACTTCAAAATAGAATGAAATGAAGTGTGGTTTGTATTTTTGCAAACGAATCAAGTTTATTATACACAAGAGGCTGGCTCTTCAAAGAGTAATCATTCTGGTTTAAAAATATGTATTTTTGGTTGTAAAGTTTATTTAAGGAGGGAATGGCTTTTAATACATAAATTCAGATGTTACATGAAACATGTGATATCATGAAAGGCAAACAGAACCTCTTTACCACTGACAAAAATTTATCAGTAGGCAAATGGAGTATCAATGCGAACAAACAAAAAAACAGATTAAATAAAAACACCAAACAGCAAAATAAAGTCTTTGTTTTTTGTTTATTTGATTGTTGTTTAATTCAAGAGGCAGCAAGACAAAATGAGTGTCTTATCTGCAGGTCCACTCCTCCGATGCCTTAAGGGCCCATTTGGCCAGGCTGAAGAAGGGAGAAGTCGGAATCTCCACCCAGATGTCCCAGGTGGGTGGCAGACACCCGGTGTGGACCGTTATCTCTGCTTCCCAGGGCCTACGGTGGCAGGAGGCTGCCACTGGGAATCAGAGGTGGGAATGGAAGCCAGCACTCAGGAAATGCAAGCATCTTTATCATGAGGTCAAATGTTTGCTCCAATCAACTATTGTTTACTGGTAATATTAACAAGATATTTACGTAACAGGTGAATTATAAGAGGTTCATAGTCAGTGTTTCAATAATGTTAAAAATGTAAAAGTGAAAGTCAGGAGAAATACATAAATCAAATATATGTGAATGTAATGTTTAAAGGGCATGTGTACATACATAAAATCTTTAGCAAAGTATAGAATTTTGGGCCTGATGCAGTACCCTAGTGGCTAAAGTCCTCACCTCATACATGCTGGGGTCCCATATGCGTGCCGGTTCTAATCCCAGTGGCCCCACTTTCCATCTAGCTCCTTACTTGTGGCCTGGGAAAGCAGTCAAGGACGGCCCAAAGCCTTGGGACCCTACACCCACGTGGGAGACCGGATTGGAGCTCCTGGCTCCTGGCTTTGGATCAGCCCAGCTCTGGCTATCGCAGTCACTTAAGGAGTGACTCATTGGACGGAAGGTCTCTGTCTCTCCTCCTTTCTGTATCTCTGACTTTACAATAAAATAAGTAAATCTTTAAGACACACACAAAAGTATATAATTGTGTTCACTAAAGTCTATGATAAGCCAGGTTGACAGTGTGACACAGGGATACCGTCTTAATTCAGAATAGGTACAACTGTGCCACTCGCAGGAGCTGCAAAATGCGCTGGAGGTTAGAGGAGCTCCTGACATCCGGGATACTGGCAGGCATCATCTCAGGGCTGTTTGCAGCTCAAACAGAACGGCATTACAGTAGGAATGAAAAGGAAAGTCCCACACTTAGCCAACAGACAACAGCAGAAGGAAACAATTTCCCAAAAGAAAATGAATCCTCTCCCCATAACAAGGATTTGTCATCAATTTCAGCCTGAGCAATTTTTTTTTGAGGGAAATTTCAATCACACAGATAAAACACAATGATTAAAAAAAAAATACTTCAGCTCTGTGGGATCTGGGGCCTTCTCCACAGAAGCAAGGTCAGTGCTCTTGCACCTTTGGCTCAAGCACGTGCATTGGTTTAGTTCAGGCACCACCTCCCTTCACTGGGAAAGTTTCTCTCACCTCCCCTTGCTGGGTGACAGATGCCCCTTCCATCTTGGGTTAAAGTATATCACCGTCTTTAGATCTTACAGCAAATTGTCTGTGCCTTTAATTGTCTATGTTCTGCATGTTGTGTGCTCCAGGCATCAAAGCTATGTTGTGTAATTACTTTGTAGCCATAATAAAAAACAGAGTTGGTGGATCAATGTTTGCTGAATGAAATCCTAAAATAATATGATAAACATAATATGATAAACATATCACATCATGTAATCATGGCAGCTTCTTTAAACTTGTTTATGTCCAATGTAATTTCTGGAAGCCAGAAGTGATCAACGTAGATGATATCTTAAGAGGAAGTTAGAAATTTGCTACTGAGAAAACATGTACTGCGTTTGTCTTGCGTATGCCACTCCAGCTAAATGCTGTGTGAAATTATATTGATGCTCTAATACAGATGTCTGAAATAGCTATGCAATGAAGAACTTGGGCAGTAACAAAAAAAATAAAAGCTGTAACGAGGTTGAAGGAAAGAAGAATCTGGCCAGAGAAAGGAAAGGCAAACCACACCTCTTTGGCTCCTTAACGATCCTTTATTGGAATGATCCTGCTAAAAGAAAAGGTCATCTTAGGAAGAATGACTCTCAATTTTTCAAAAGTCATAAATGGCTCATAACAGCAAAAAGGGAATGCAATGATCTTGGAAGAAATTTATGTATTTATGAGTATAACTGTCAATTAGATAGGCCTGGGAAAACCCAGAGGCCAAAAGTTCAGATGGAAAAATTTTCAGCAATTGTCTGTTTAACCTAATCTTTATCAATACTAAAAACGGAGATACAGATTTAACAGGATCTTCACTACTGTTCCTACGCATGAGATGGCTTGGTCAAGGAAGGGTCAAGTCTCATTGTATCACTCTACGGTATGTCCAAATGTAGCAGCCAGCATATACATCAATCCCTAACCGTTTCTGAAATGAGGGCATTATGGCATAGCGTTATCTCCATGTAACCCTTCATCATGGGCCACAGATATTCTGAATGACCCTAGGATCCAGGAGTCCAAAGACTGTACAGACACAGGGCTTGCACACAAGAGTGTCTATCCTGGAGGTTTCAGAAAGATTCACTGAGCACTGACTCATCTTACTTAGCATACATGGGGGGGGGTTAGTGTTTGTTCTCTTGTTTTTTAACTTCTTTCTCCGCTAGACTGAGAACTTGGTGACACAGAACAGAACATACTCTTCTACGAATCCAGATGCACCAAAGTTAATATCCTCAACATGAGGAGCTTAACTGCTTTGCAGATGTGATTTGAAAAAATAATAATAATCCAATTGTCCTCTGTGATCCTCTAAACGCATGAAGTACCAAGCATCTCATTTCTTGTGCAAGGAACAAATTGATACAATCTCTATTAAATATACTGGAAACTCAAGTTACTCGAAATATGTTGTGCAACCATAAACCAACCCAACAAAACTGGAAAAAGTCAACAACAAGGCAGTCCATTTCTCCTGTTTATGATGTTTTGTCATTATGTGATACTATCCTCCATACGCATGTCTTCAATAAGGTTTCTCGGTTTAGTCTTGTTCTAGACACAAGAGGAGGAAAAGAACAGAATTATAGCTTCCTATCTGTAAGCATCTGTTGCTGTTGGTGGCAGGTAGTGTGAGGTCTTTTTTGACCCATCTTCAAAAGGTCAGTCCAAGGGTTCTCCCTTAGCCAAAGGTGAAAATGTCACTGAAAAAATAAAAAGGACTGATATACAAAATCCTCAAAAAGATGCGTCACATGGGAGTTCAATGATTCAATCAGGAAATTCAAGATGACCTTAGTAATTTGGGGCAGGGGGAGGGATGGGCAACACACATTCAACTACACCCAGAAAATTCATCTTATGCTACAGAGCCAAATTCCAGATGTTGTTTGCAACTTTTGGACCAAATTACCCAGAAGGTTTGTGTCAGAAGGCCCTACTGTGGCTCTTCCCCTGGAGCCAAACACAGCAGTTTCCGTGATGGTAATGGCTGGCCAGGGAAGGATGCTACTTTGGTAAATTATGATAACTGGGCAGTAAGGATTACTAAAACCAACATAAATTTAGAGGGTTTGTGCATGTGCCAACTGTGAGGATTATAGATGTATGCATTCATAAAAGGTCTTCCATCATCAGAGACAGGAGAAGTTTCTCATGTGTGCAGTTCTCATTGAAATGACATCTATTATCAGAACTCCTGCTCATCGCATGGACGAGTCGAGTCCCTGGCAGTCTATCATCTGCTGGAAAGTCACCTCGGAGGCCTAGTGGCCTTGGTGTGCCTCTTGGTGTCCATATCAGCAGGGCACCCCACACAAAGCTATGCAGGGACCATCATTTCCCAATGATGGTGCATACAGGCCCAAAGCCACACCCCGCAGTTTCAATGCTGACAATCATTTCATCTTTGAAGCAGCAAAAAAAAAAAAAAAAAACAATAAAACAAGATTCACTGCTCATCTTTTGTACAAGCAGTTTCTCTGGGCCTGGTGTCCTGCACTGTTTCCCTAAGAGGCAGCTCAGGGAGGAAGGCTGTAGTAGCAGCCCTTAGGGTCTATCACCAGGCATTGACAACATCTCATAGCTTCTTTGGAGAATGTAGCCTTTGCAGTGGAGATTTCAGAAGCTGCTAGTGTTTGTGGCATCAAAGCTCTTTTCAAATCGTCTGAGGAGTGCTGTGTTTGCGGGGGATAAGGGGGAGTCTAGACCACCAGACACTTGTCACGTTGATGAGTACAGATTTTATTCATTGGTCCTCCTGACATCTCAAATCCTTCCTGTTCTCGCTTACTGCGCAATTGTGTACAGAAAAGACAGATGAGCCAGAGGCCATTTCAAAGCAACTTATGATAGCTGATTCGTTTATGTTAGTTATAAGGACTTGGGCAACAAACAAGGTTCAGAAAATTTGTTTACAACTCCATGCTGATTCTGCAAAGCAATCTCATAAAAGGCTTATTCTAGGAATAGTCTCAACATAGATTCCCTAATGACTTCTTTAGAACTTCTGCTTTCCATCTTCTGAGATGAAAATAATTCCTCCAATGTTAGAAACATGTCCTGTTCTACTGAGTACACTCTCTGCCTGTTATGAGATGACAGATAATAATGCTAATTTAGGATGGGCTTGATGGCATTAGTAAGAATGGTCTTGCTATAGCTGCATTTATATAAC